CCGCCCCGCCCGGCGGCACCGGGATCCCCTTCGCTCCCCGCCCCAGGACGGAGGTTTGCCCATCTGCTGCACGAGGATGGACAACGGTGAAATCTCTGCTCCAGCACGGAGGGAAAGGCATAACAGAAGCACTTCTAACCGGCACCACCTCAACCTCCAGCTCCGGCCAGCCCAGCTTGCTGCCATAGGTGCCTTTACAGCCCGCAGCGGCACGATATTGATTCTGCATTATGGGAAAGCTCCTCCTGTGCTATAAACCCTCAGTGCTCAGGCAATGCTTTCCCCGCACACGTTTATCCACCCAGCTGTATACAAAGGCTTTCAGTTCCATCTGTTAGTATTACGCTGCTCTAATTTCTCCATCGAAAGGCTTTGTAAGTCACGCTTTAAAATCATTAAGTTCATTTTGATACGTGCCAGGAACATCGTCTCCCTTTATACTTGGAAAACTCAGTAACAAAGATTACTGAACAGTAAGCAGTTCAGCTTCCCTGCAAGAACCCAAAAGACCCATGAGTCAGCCCCATTTCCTCGAATGAGACAAAAATGCTGTTGCAAGAGATGTAGAAGAGCTCAAGAAAAGGGCATGGTACTCACATATCAGTCACTGCCTTCTACACAAAGATAAAAGCCCTGAGCAAGAAGCTTTGCTTGCAATCACCACCTTTTGCATCTCAATCACCACCTTTTGTGTCTAAGGGCTTGAGGGATAAGAAATCCCTTGCACGTATCTTGTAATGTTACTGCAGAAAGCCACGGCTGATACTTACACCTGATGCACACACTCCTTACAGCCAGCACAGCCCATCTGCTCCCTGCCTGCAGCACTGCAGCTCCTGAGCATTAAGGAAACGGAGGCCAAGGTTTAACAGACTCACAGTTTGTCCACTGGAAAAGTTTTAAATACGAAGTATGTTGTGTTTAATTGTGGCTGTGCCTTTTTATGGCATCATAAACACGCAAAGCACTTGACAAACAAACCACGAGGGCAACATCCATCATAAATTGCTCTTTCTCCTGATAAGTCTGAGAATGCCCAACAAAAGCAGCAAGCAGAACGGGCTGCACCGCACTGCCAGGGGGCAGAGGGGAAAGGACACAGCTTAAGGTCACTGAGCTACAGAGCAGGGGACAACAGCCACATGCTGCACTGCAGCTGACTCACACCAAAAGGGCTACAGCCATGGGTTCCATGTAGCTTCTCACTCATTTGTATTCAGACATCAGAAAGGGTCAGACCTCACTGAAGTCAATGGGGGTCGTCGCAGCTCTTTCTGCCGAGGTTTTTAACCAAACTCTGCTTGCTAACAGCTGGTTCCTTCAGGAGGAATCAGATTTGGAAGCTCTGGAAGATTTCAGCTCCGTCACCCGCAGTCTAACAGGGTACAATTTCGTTATGCCATTTAGCTCAACCTGAGATGCATACACCAAATGCAGATTTGCTTTGCTTAGCAATTTCTCACCCGCATTCGAGGACAATAAAAAACAAGGGTTGCCTGGCGACTCAAGGAGCAGTTGCATCACAGTACAATGGGGAGAACCTTTTTTTCTTCTTCTGGTGAAGCAACACTGTTAAGTAATTGCTACCTGCAGTTTCTACATTTGAGTCAACTCCATTCATACAGCTCCTGTTGGTCACCGTGCAGGGTGCATTTTTTTGCAGGTCTCTGGCACTTTTTCCAGCTGATTATCAGGATAACTGCAGTGTTTGCAGAACTATAAGTCATTATTATGATCTGTGGATCTGTAGACAAACAAGAAAAAAATAACATTTAAAGCAACCACTCCCTCTGTCTAAATGACTTTCAATCTCTAATCCGCTGCCTTTGGGTCAGCAGAGTTCACTCTGAACAGCTTCTAGAAAGCTGAACGCAAAGAACAGCCATCCTACCACAAACTGCTGCCATCATCTTCCAAAGCCAATGGAAGATCTGAAGCTGCCCCCTGACTGCAGCACAGCTGGCCGTGCTCCCGAGGTCCACGCAGTGAGCTGGGTGGGCAAGGGGGAAGCTCCCAGCAGAAGTGGAACCTCACCCCCATCTTCTCACACTTTCCCAAGATAGCTGTTCTCGTAACAAGTCTTACTGAAGTGGTGACAAGCAGATCCTCATGAATCACAGCTCTGTAATCTCCTAGAGAGCAGCTATGCTTGTTACCCAGTTACTCATCAGTGTACAAGAGGACCAGAGCCACTGTTGATGAAATTGAGCTGTGACAGCTGCATGTTAAGTCATGGGGACACCCAGGTTCTGATCCGTGGGTTTTTGTAGATCAGCATCAGTTATTTTGATATCAACTGCAGGGGCCTAACCTAAAAGCTAACTTAAGAAACCTGGATTTAATTAAAACACTTGTTAAGCTGAGACCGCTGCAAAGAGCTCAAATCCCAGCTCTGGAACCAAGTTTTCAGCAGGTTATGAACACGTGGCATTGCTATCCAGGAATTGTGACACACAGCAGTTGTGAGCCCTCAGCACGGTCGAGGCAGTAAAACTACTTGCACGTGAGCTTCCCTAGAGCTATTAAACACACGTGGTGAAGTCTTTCACTGTGGTCTTGGAGCAAAGTAAAGCAGCACTGCTTGTCCTTAGGCTCAGCCATGTCACCAGGAGGTGAGACAGGCACACCTGGCTCAGGGAGGTGCACCTACTCCTGCCTATGACTCAGCCCTGGCATTTCAACAGCTCTGTTTTACACTTCCTCTAGCTGCTCTGAGCATCTTTCTCACAACCCCTGCCTCCCTGCCAAGACATTCTGTGTAGCTATCTGTTTCAGGCTTTCTGCTGGTGAAGACAGGTTGTTCTCTCCTAGAACAGGATGTCCTTTAATGCTGTGATATAATCCCTTTTGTTTTGGAACCAAACCACTTCAATGGACAAACATAGACACACTTGCTCCCTTATTTTTTTTTTTTCCTCTGCAGGCTAAGGGACACCATTTATTCAGCACTGCACACAAGCACAGCTCCTAAGGCACAGCTGCTGATTTTTATGCAAAGTGACACAGTGTTCAGATAGAAAGTAGCACATAGCCCAGCTCTTACCTTTATCCTTGGCTGTGCTGGATGGCAGCCACACTGATAGCCAGCAGACGTGACACTCAGCTCAGGTAATTCCTCCAAGAGTCATTCTGAAGGAAGCTGCAGCTGTGAACCTGCTTCTCCTCTCTGCTGCCGACCTCAGGAGCAGAGCAAGTGGTGTTTTGGGAAGCATCCAGAGCAGAAGGAAGTAATTGAGCAGGGAAACACTTCCTCCAAGTAATAAACACATAGGAAGGATTAAAAACACTTCTGTTTGTTTCTATTAGAGACATTTAAGGATAGATCTAAGTCACTTTTTGTACTGCAGTAAGTCTTAACTACTTTAATACTTTGACTTCTACTCAATGAATCACTTGGCAAGCCAGGTATGAAAACATTAGTTTCCATCTGTGTGCAGAGGTCAAGATAAAGCATAGAGTTTGCTGATGCAGGAACAGATTAAACAGGGAGTGACTCTGGCTGGAACCAGCCAGCACAGCTTCTCACTTGCATCCCTCTCCTACTCTGACTTCCTCATTACATTCCACAGCAGCATTCTGTTGGAACTCCAGAGCCCTTCCTGAATCAGCTGCCTGTCTCACTCTGTTGCCTTTTCTCAGCTGACATGTAATCAGAAACAAGGTGGAGACTCACAGAATGACAGCCACCACTGCAAGGTGTCCAGAGAATAATTAATCTTTCCCCACAATAAGAAACAGGGTCACCTACTGAAGCGAGTGATGATGCGTTTAGGACAGGTAACTGTACTGTAGAAGTAGTAACTCCCAGTAGGAGCACTGAAACCTCTCATGAATCCCATGTTCCTCCAGAAAAGATGATGAAAAGCAGGCAAGGCTCCTAGGAAGAGCTACAGACAGCTTGTAAGGTGTGAACAAGAGCACCTGATTTCATCCCACCCCTCCAGGATGGCCCCAGCACAGCATCTACTGCATCTATACTCAGAGTACAGCTACTCAGGTTAGCCATTAGTCTTCTACAATTTGTTACATCCCTTCAATTCAACACCAGATTTCTTCTTTCTTTATGAGTAGGCAGAGTGGCAGAGCTCTCAAGAAATTACTATGAAGTTTCATTAATATAAAATCAAATATTTTAATGAAATAAGGGAGCACGAGTGTAACAGCTCAGATATACCACTAGAACTGATACTACTGGGCTGTGGGGTTTTGGCTGCTTTAAAAAGGCTTCTCTTCAACAAGCATGCAGGTTGACAAACTACTAATTCTTCAGAGCATCAAAGATCCTGAGTAAAGAATTTCAAACCACTTGAAGTGTGTATATATAGGAAATGTCTTATGAGCTGGTGGCCTGCACACAGCATTGCACAGATAAAAAATATACTACTCTCAATACACAGAGCTAAATACTTTCACATTTATCAGAACTTTCTACACGAGTTTTTTTTTGTTTATAGAGTTCAAGTTTTGAATTTTCTGTATATATCTTTCACCTGTATTAAACAAATGCTTATTTACATTGTGGATAAAGTGTAAAGGCTAGTAAGGCCGTATTCCCATACTGTACTGTAACACTGCAAAATATATATACACATATATAACCTAATATAGGCATCAGTTCTAGAAAAGTCACCTTACATTTGTTCAACATAATTGAGTCAGTATGAAAAGACAGCTTTGTTAGCACCAAGCCACTCCAATGGTTTTTGTGAACCTCCTTGGGCCTTCTAATTCCACAGAAGGACCGTCCAACACAGCATTCCAGCTGAGAAATGCAGATCCTGCTGCAGAACTGGAAGGCCCAAGCAACACTCAACGTGCTACGGTATGCAGATTACTAAAGAGCAGGCAGAGGAGCATCCAGACAAGCTCTGCAGTTAGCAGTTGACCTCCAGCGTAACAGCCACGGAGCCAGATACCAGATGGAGTCCTTTTGTGACTGTATCCTGTTAGCATCTTTCCTTTGGATACATGACAGCAAGCACAGAATTACCAGTAACACAGACTTTACTGAGACCAAGTGGTTTACAAGCCAGGTTACCCCTACGCAGCAAAGGCCAAACGGGGAAGGAGGGCTCCGCTGCTCCAATTCCAAAGGAAAGAAGCTCTCACAGCACTCATCTCCTGTGCCTGCTGTGGCCAGGATGGTCTCTGTCGTAACGATGAGCTGCTCGCTCGTAGGACCGAGAACGCTCGTGCCTGTGATTCCTGTAGTAGTGACTCTTCTTCTTGTACTTCCCCGAGTGGTCGGAGCGCTCCCGGGATCGGCTCCTGGATCGGGACGAACTCCTGCTGCGTGATTTCCGGGCTTTGTGTGCTGTGTATTTATAGTCTTTGGATTTCTTGTAACTTCTCACCTTGGAAGCTTTGTAAGTCGAGCTGTGGTTGAATTGCCTGGGAGGAGAGTCGCTGCGGCTCCGGGAGCGGCTGTGGGACTTGGAACCGCTGGACGTGGAGTAACTTTCACTTTTCCTACAGGGAGAGCAAGGACGTGACTTTGTAAGTCCAATGGTTCTACATTGCTTCATTAACAGCTCCTAAAGGTCAGCACAGGAAACAGCTGACCCTCTGTCTGCATGAAGACCCTCAGTCTGGAGAAGAGGAGGCTCAGGGGAGACCTTATTGCACTCTACAACTTCCTAAAGGGAGGTTGTGGTGCAAAAGGGTCTGGCCTCTTCTCCTAGGCAAATAGTAGGACCCGAGGAAACGGCCAGAAGTTCTACCAGAGGTGGTTTAGGTTGGATATTAGGAGAAACTTTTTCTCTCAAAGGGTGGTCAGGCACTGCAATGGCTGCCCAGGGAGGTGGTGGAGTCGCCGTCCCTGGCAGCGTTCAAGAGGCGCCTGGATGAGGAGCTATGAGAGATGGTTTGGTGCTTGTGGTACTGATAGGAATGGGAGGGTGGTTGGACTGGATGATCTTGCAGGTCGTTTCCAACCTTGTGATTCTCTGTGATTCTATTTCTCAGGACTCCCTGAAGTTACCTTTCAACCACCTCAGTGCAGCAGCACTCCATACCTGTGCTTAGGGGATGCAGATCTGGATGGTGACCTTGAATAACTCTGATCTCTACTCCCACTTCGACTTCTGCTTTCCCTGCTTTTCTGAACCCTGCGAGGGACAACAAACACAGTGAGTTTTGTTTAAAGTAACAGTGAGGAAGAGGTAAGTTTTTGTTATGCAAACCTTACCCATTTACTGGACTATTGGAACCCGTTCTTTTTGCTCCTTCTGCTTTCCTTTTAGCATTCTTCATTGCTTGAACAGGGAGCGGGGAAGGTTTATTTCCTTTAGCCTCTTTTGGAGACTCTAGAAAAAGAAGCCTTTGTTACCTTGCTTTGAAAATGTGAGTACTAACTGGAAGAGATAAGGATTGAAGCCTCTCCCCACGCTGCTTTCATTTTGCTTTAACAATCCCTACTGCACCTACTGTGTTGTTCAGGTACATCCCTCTGTGCCAGAGCACACATCTGCCCAAAAGGGGATCTGAAGAACCCCAAGTCAGGATTTAACCTGAAACATTTCCACCCAAATACTGCTATTAC